TCAGCAAGATATACTGTACCGGTATTTACTTTTTATTTTGTGATTTTATAGCCTCTTCTTCAGTTCCTGAAGAGTCTCAAGTTAATGGTGGTGAAACCAATGGAACAACTCCAAAACACCATGTTGATAATACTGATGAAGATGGATCAGGACAAGGTATGTTTTAAGTATAGGTTATGCATGTATATAGAAGTGGATTTTATGTAGCAGAATGTATGGTAATTAGATTGGGTTGATTTTATGTATTGCACTTAGCACCTGCCTAATAACACCACAGCTGATATAAGGGAAGGGCAACTTATCTAAAGATCTGACCAGAGTAAGTATGACAGCTGGCCTTCCCAGGCACTGGCAGTAATAAAATTTTATTGCATTCCATTGGTATTCTTTGTGAGGAAAAATGGCTAGCTTAATGATGACTGTAGTATAACTGTATTACAAAATGTAATGTGTTCTTTGATTATAATAATCATGATGAAGGAGAAAGAGACAGCAAATATTTAAATTAATCTTCATTGATTAATCTTTGCTAGTTTACGATTATAAATATAACTGCAATAATCACAGTCTTCCAAAAAGTACAGAATTTCTATTCTGATGCTCTAATTTATTGCTAGCCAGTGGCCAATATTTGGCCATTTTGCATCAGTGATACCAATAAAATGCAATTGAACTTTATAATTATTGCTTAAAGATCAGCATGTCATACCTCCTGATAATACGTAAACAAGGCCTTGGATACACAATTACACATTCATGATTGGGCCATTTAAACTTGCATGAAGCTTATACTTGTCTATTCTAGCTATTCTTATTAAAGCATCATTTTAATTGTTTAACTTTTTAGTGATGCTAATTTTTATAATTAGATCTACGTCTTCCTAAAGTTTGTGTTGGCAAAAAAGATGAAGATGATTACGATGACGAGGTAGTGTATCTAATGAATACAACACCATGGGGCTACTGTTTGATTATTAATATGAAGAAAGGCCGTGAAGATGGGAATGAAAAAGATACTGATAAATTGCGCACTTTATTTAAACATGACCTTCAGTTTGCTTTTAGAGTATACAACAATTTAAAAGCAGAAGATATTGACAATTTGATGAAAAATGTCAAAGAAGCTAGTCACCAGTGGTCATGCTGCTTTATTATGTTCATTCTCGCTCATGGCGGTACAGAAAATATGTCTGCGTATTTTTTAACATCTGATAATAAACGTTATAAAGTTTCCAGCATTAAGAAGAAAATTGAGAGCATTGACGACTTGAACGGTAAACCAAAGCTCCTTTTCATCCAGTCATGTCGGGGAGACCTTCTTGATACAGGACTTGAGGTACTGGATGGGAATCATGGGGAAAAAAACAAAACACCAAGCAAAATACCGAGAGGATCTGATTTTTTGACATCATTTGCGACGATTGAGGATTACGCTGCTTGTCGAGGTGCAGATGGAAGTCGTTTTATTCAGTGTTTATGTGATGTCTTCACTGAATATCGTGACAAATGGGATGTCGTGACAATGATGACTATGGTTACTAAAGAAGTAGCAGCCATTGCTAGGGATGTCGAGGGGGAAGGTGGCATAGCAAAAGGTGTGAGGCAAAATCCTGAGACCACGTTCACATTTAGAAAGTTTCTATTTTTTGGGAAACCTCCACAGTGGGTATTCACTCCTTTAAACAAAAAATAATTATAACTCTTTATTATTGTAGCTTATTATTAGTAGAACATTATTTTGGATTTTTTGTGAACATTAAATTAAGATTAGTGTTTTGTTTATTAATTTTGTGTGATTTAGAATTTGTTGTCTTTTAAATGAAAAGAACACTGCGACCACACCAGCCACGCCTTAAAATGACTGTTGATCTGAGCATGAGCAGATGAGCTTCATCATAGATACTAAAGTATCTGTGGTTTCATACACATCGACTCTCCTATCAAGTTTCCACGTGAAAGCACATGGTTTAATTATACGGAACATATAACGGAAGGTATACTGAAGTTTGAACACTGAAGACTGTGTAAAGAGCGAGGTAAAGAGTGAAGACTGAAGAGGGATTTGGCATTCAGAATGAGTTCCATATATATAACAGAGCCCCCTACTAAAGGAAAGGTAGTTAATCCAGCAGCAGCTGTATTAGTGACTACTGGCCCCTCCCCTCAGGTACTATTAAAGACCACACTGGGTGATATTGATATTGAACTGTGGTCCAAAGAGGCTCCTCTGGCCTGTCGTAACTTCATACAATTGTGTTTAGAAGATTATTATAATGATACCATATTCCACAGAGT